TACAACATGAGACGTAGTACGTCGAGCGAAATAATCCAAATAAGGAAACCCTTATGTATATACCATATGTCTCAAATTATAGATAATTAAATATTAACCCCAATCTATGTATGAAAAGAACACAACTGACCTACATATCACACAAGAATCCTAATCACCTTAAGTAACAATGTCATGTAACTAGTCATCCTATAACAGGTCACTGGTCACATCTCACACAGAGTCAACGCTCATATCATCGGATAATTGACTGTTCACAAATCCCCTACGTGCATCCAAACCTGCGAAATGGTTCGGTGAGAGGACTACACGCAAACCGATTTTGGCCTGGTCTGAACTCAAGCAAAACTCGGGTGACGAAACGATTTCACTAACCAAGTGCGAAACGGTTCACTTAGCCCAACAAACTAACCCCAGTGCGAAATGGTTCACTGGTTCTCGTCTGGAAGATACATCAACAACCTTATCCGATCACATGAACCATGACTTCCCCATCCCAACTCTCTTGTATTTTCTAAGTCAAACATAATCCACATTGAAACTCGGGTTCACCACCTAAACTCAATCAACACACTCACACATGTCATTAAGTTTGTTCATGATGCACGAGGCCACTAAATCACAAACTACTAATGGTTCTCAATCACAAGATGAACAATACATAGCAGACATGTCAAATACACTAAATAAATGCAAAACGTGAAATGTGATCATAAACAACAACTATGTAATTCAGAAAATAATTCATTTTCCAAAATAATTTCTTTTAAAATTATTTCTCATTATTAATCTAAAATATTTTCTTTTTTAAAATAAATTCCTTTAAGTTATTATAATTATAAAAAAATGATTCTTTTGCTAAATTAAATTCTTTTAACTTATTATAATTTTTCTAAAATGATTCCATTGCCAAATAATTTCCTTTAAAATTATTTATTAATAATTCAAATAATCTTTTTACAAAACAATTTCCTTTAAAATTCTTTAATGTCATTCAACGTCAAATCCACACATGATATCACAATATTCACATTATAACTAATCTATGCACGTACTTAATTAACAGTATATCAAAAATTGTAAAGACGAGTCAATAAGTAACGAGATCTTACACATAATAATTTACGATAAAACTAAGAATTAAAATAAAAAAATAACAGAGGTTCGGGATCTTGCCTATGAGGCCAAGGGACCTGCGGACGAGGCGGCAAAGCCATTTCTTGCTGTTCGTTGTTCAACGTGAGCTTGCAGGGGTAGCTCGGTCAAGGAGGGAGAGGAACAGGAGGAGGTTGAAGCTCTGGAGGAGCTTGGGCTGGTGACGCGGTTCAGGTGGTCATGGGGCTGCTGGGGGTGACAGCGAGCGCTGGTCGGAGACGACGAAGGAGGGCGCTTGGACGGTGTGGAGGAGGCTGGGCTGGGGGTTTGACTTGGGAATGTGAGAGAGAGAGAGAGAGAGAGAGAGAGAGCTGAGAGATGACGAGGAGAGAGATTGAGTGAGAGTTGCTGTGAGATAAAATAGAGAGAGAGATGTGATGGGGTGGGGAACTAAAATAAGGGAGTGGAGAGATGTACGTGGGACAAGGGAATGTGGCTGAGTGTAATTGAGGGAGACAGGGAGAAGTGGGGGAGTGAGAGAGAAACGTGGGAGTGATGTACGTGGGTTTATGGGTTTATATAGGTAGGGTTAGGTATTTAATCGAAAATAATTAAAATAAATAATTATGGTAAACTAATTACAGAATAGTTATCTATAATTAAAAACATACCAGTTGTATTAATACAACTGCTGATACGCCACTGAAAAATAATACTATAAATTGTACAATCAAACAAGAATAACCAATTAAAAATACAATTACTTATATTTAAAATCGAATAATTATAGGATAATTATCTACGTAATAAAACGTATCAGTTATATATACTAATACGATCGATAATGTGTAATAGTAGAAATAATACAATAAATTATACCAATAATATGTAATTAATAATACAAGGTATTATACAAAATAATACGTAATAATATTAATAATACAACATATTATTTAATATGATACGTAATAGCATCGACAACATAACAGATTAATTCTAGAAATTTTTACTACACTAAGTAAATTTATAAATATCTAAATCATTTAAATAATTATAAAACTTGGATTTTAAATCGTAGAAAATCCTAGAAAATCGAGAAATACAAATACTCTTTTAAAAATAATAATTAAATATTTTTTTAAAATACTAGAAAATTATTTTAACTAGTATTGAAAATTCATGGTCCTTACATTGTGTTTGGTGGGGGCTGGAGGAGGAGCTGTACTGCTGTCACCCTCAGGTTTGGTAAAAATCCTAGACCAAATCTTGTTCTTCTTATCTCGGTTGGGGCTAACAGGATCCCCCTCATTGGAGAACCACGTATGGCTCATTACCCACTCAAGGTTGAATGAGTACGTGATTTCTTCTCCAGATTTTATATCAGCGAAGACAAATTTTATCTTTTTCTCGTCCCACTGTCTCAAAATATGCTCAAAAGTGGGAAGATCAAGACCGGGAGGGCCAAAAAAAACGTAGTGTCTGAATACACTATCTTCGTAGGCCTCCCAATGCCTTTGCCCCATATGCTGCACCGAAGTGTGCATGAACTCATAGTAGACAGTGAAGCTGGATGTGGGCCGTAGCTTAGATATGGTCTTTGCCCTTTTGTCTACAAAGTAAAACCACAATATATAAATAGTTTCAAAATAACCAGTAAACATAAACTATGCTGTAAACTTGACAAAAAAATTATAAACTTAACAACAAATCCATAAGCTTAACAACTAAAGCTTATCCTCAACAACCAATCAATAATCTTAACAATAAAATCATAACCCTTACAAGTTAACAATAACATTCACAACGAATAGTCATAAGTAAACAGTAACCTCCACAACTAACAGACACCCGTAAATAGTAACCTTCACAATAGACTAATAACCTTATTAAGTAACCCTTAACCTTAACAACTAACATGCCATATGTCACAACTAAACAACAACCTTCACAACAGATCAATAATCTTAACAACTAATGCATAACCCTAACAATGAATCAATTTCCTTGATAACTACAAGCTAACCTTCATAACTTCCCAGTATTCTTCACAATTATCACATCACACAACATGATAAACAACATAAAAATTATGGTAAAAAGCACTTTTTTTGCTGCCATATGCTTCTCTTTATCTCCTCTTTGTACATCCAGGAGCACTCTTGAGGTATTGTCGGTGGCGCTGGTGGTGCTGGTGCTGCCATCTAGATCTGTGTTGGGGGCTGACTTTTTGGGTTGACCTGGACTTCTGGGACGAGAGTGGCTGGCTTGATGTCTATAGAACATCAGCAATTGAAGCGCTAGCTTCAGACCACTCCACTGTTGTCTGGGGTCTTTTTGAGATGACGTACCGTGACACGTCGTCGTCTTTGCTGCATTCGATGGGGAGGATTGCTTTGGGAGTTGTCTCGTTGGCCATTTTTCCCGATTAATCTCTGGAGTTAGATGATTTAGGGCTAGGGTTTTGAAATGAAAAAAAAATGCTCTGGAGTCGGTTCATTTGGACAAAAGGTAGATGAAATGGTGCGAACGACGAGGAAGAGTTTAGATAAACGAGAGGCGGTTAAATCAAAGGGTATTTTGGGAAGATCACGCTGGTTTTAAACAGCGTTTCACGTGGGGGGGTGGGGGGAGGGGTGGAGGCTAGAGGAAAACACGAGTGTTTTAAGGGGCGAAAGAGACCGTTGACAAAGTCGGGGGGGGGCCGCTCCCGGTTGTGGAACACTCTGACTCGTTTTGGGGGTAGAAGCAATTTTCCCAAATTTTAAATAAAATTACCTGAACAGTTTAAATACGAGAACATAATCGTCTCAAAAGAGAAATCTCATGCATATTTCGATTCAACATCAAAATGCAGAGGCAGTTTGACAAATAATTAGTTTTTGGGATAAACACGCAAATGGGTTAATGGAAGTTACACAGTTTGAAAATCCTAAATTTTAACTCAAGTAACCTACACAAAGTAGAATGTTTATTTTAATTCAATAAATAAACAGTTCCACGAAAACGACGTATTACTTTTTACAATTAGCTGCCTAAAAACTATGTATTTATCAATCTTAACCCCATGTCAACTCTTGTTGCCAAAATCCGGCAGGGACCAAAGATCTAAAAAGCTTGCCCAAAAATTGCGACCGGGTTTTCCTAGTAACCCGACCCGCTTCATACCTATTCCAGACGAGAACCTTTCAGGCTTCCACTATTTACTATTACAACCCCTTGTCGGGTTCGGATCATGAATTCATGATCGAGCAAACATCCAATTTGGATTTTGAGTCGCAAAACTTGGTTCTATTTTCACGTGCATAAGTCCCCTATCCATCTGCTTCGATCATATAAATCCCACACTTTCAACGGTAGATCTTAAACTACCTCACTGCAGGAGAGCGTAATGACCATTCTGCCCTCACCCGTCTCCTCTCCGAGATCGCCTTTATCAAATTGACCCCGCCCCAAAAGTTTTTTGCCCTAATTCTGCAGCTCGACCCCTCTCTTGATTCCAGCTACACTCTCTCCACTGATTTCCGCTCTGAATCCCGCTGATTTATGGTTTTAATGGAGTTTAGGTCGCTCTAGGGTTTTGGAGTGAGAAAAGTAGCGATCTTGGTGTTAGATCTTAGCAATTTTAGGATTTAGAATTTAAATTGTTGGCGTTTGAGATGAATTGAGAGAAGTAGAGAAAGGGAGTGGTGAGAGGAACCGTTGGATCATGGGGGGCAGTGAGAGCGACACACCGAAGAAGGGGACAAAGGCGCCGGCGTCTGAATCGCCGCCGGCGGGCCCACAGGTCAGTGATGCTGTCCTATTTTTGATTGTAGAAAAGTGTAATTTTGTTTCAGTGACAAAAAATGTTTCTTTTTGTGGTTCAAATTTTTTAGGAGCAGCCACCCTCGAGTATCTCGACGTGATTGATGAATTGTAGAGTATTTGCTAATTTTGCAGTAAATTTTTTTGAATTTTTGTTTATGTTGAAGGCTTATTCCCCGATTCCGCCTCCTGGGTTTTTTCACTCGAGTCCACAGGGTCATCCTTACATGTGGGGACCTCAGGTGCTATTCTTTGTATTTTGTGTTTGAAGTGTTTAATTGCGGAGCATTAAGCTCTTTAAATTTGTTTCGTGCATCTTTATTTGCTGTTAATTCTATTAATTCAAAACATGTGTTGGTTATTGCATCCAACAATAGATGGTATAACCATGAGCGTGCAGGTGTTTTTTTTTACTGGTTGTATTGGTTGATTTTTATAAGTTTTGAACTGCGTCAGTCTTCATGCCAGAAGTTCGACAAGCAAAAGCAGAAGTGTTATCTCAGATGTTTGGAACTGAGCTAATAGGAACAGAGAGATTGAATAAATGGTTGAAACCGAAATGGGGTAAAATAACTTGTACAGATGCCGAGGAAAGGGATGATATCAAGTTATTCTTTTGATATGAATCATAAGATAATTATGGCTGTGCTAGCTTTTAGCTTTGTGTCTGAAATGCATCATTTTGTTCTATGTGTTACTTTGGTTCTGCATGGGTTTGTCTTCGCGAAATAAAACTTATAATTTCTTATGAAACTCTATGAATCAGTGCTTAGAGGTTTAAAAATTGATTGATCTTCAGTACTTCTTTGACCAAAGAAAGATATTCTCAGCGATCATGTTAAACTATTTTCACCTGATTCATGATACATAAGTTTCACGGTGTTGAAAGCAACCAGACAATAAAAGCTTAAAGGTATCTGAATCTTACGAGGTTTCAAGGTCTCATGTTTGGTTCCATGGCACCAAATATCCCGTGTATGAGACTAAGGTGAAACCCCATGTTTCATGAAGTCTCAAAAGTGTAGGCTCAGTTCGCTTGTGACTTACATACTTTAAATTTTATTCTTTTGGGGAGTTCAACGCAATTAAAGTTGCTCACGGGACCATAAATTAAATTTTTATCAAATATATCGAATATAAGGAATGATATTGGAGATTCCATTGTTGTAGTACTAAAAAGTAAAGATTTATCTCAAGGATATGCTATAGTTTTTGAGGCCTATAAACGTGGGACTTCAGAAAACTAGATCAATTGTTTCTCTAGACTTCAGAAAACTAGATCAAATGATGCTGGCTTGTTGTTTATTCTTGTCCTAAGATACAAAAGAGAACCACTGCTTCAGCCTGTGAAAATGTCACTTCAATAGGACCAACATTTTGCTAATTATCATTGTGAACATCTTTATGCAAGGGGAAGGAACATAAATTATCAATGAGTTTGGGGTATGGGATGTATGTAATATCATATTTTAATCCCCATAGTTATCTAGTAATTGTGTTAATCAGTTGTATAAGATTTATGTAATATCATATTTGATTTTAATGCCCTTAATTGTCTAGTAATGGACGTAACCAATTGTATACTTTACTTTTATTTGCAGCACCTTATGCCTCCATATGGAACCCCACCACCTCCGTATGTTGTGTATCCTCACGGAGTATATGCTCATCCATCTATTCCACCGGTATAGTTCCATTGAATATGCCTTTTTAACTCTATTTCTTTTTTGAAGAATGAGTTGTTTTCATTATAGATCAAATTTGAAAACTGCTAAAAAGTATTTTTATTCTACAACTGTTGGACAGGGGTCACACCCATTTAGTCCATTTGCGATGCCTTCTCCAAATGGCAATGCCGAGGCTTCTGTGAGTTACCTTCTAAATAGTGCACTTCTTGCATGTACTTGTGTATGTAAAGTAAATATAATGTGATGTTCTTTTTCTCATAGGGGGCCATGACAGGTGGCATGGAAGTTGATGGAAAATCATCTGATGGTAAGGAAAAAAGTCAGATTAAGAGATCCAAAGGAAGCTTGGGTAGCTTGAATATGATTACAGGAAAGAACACTAATGAGCCAGGTAAAACATCTGGAGCATCAGCAAATGGAGTGTCACAAAGGTAAACATATTCCCTCTTACCATAAGTAACTTGATTGTGCTGTATGCTATTCTTTGTGTGCAATGAGCAACTTATTTCTGTCATTTTTGTAACCATAATTTCTATAGTGGTGAAAGTGGAAGTGAAGGTTCAAGCGAAGGAAGTGATGCCAATTCTCAGAATGTAAGTCACTATCGGACACATTGCATCATAGATTTGTACTCTACCAAACCATTGAATTTTTGAGACATAAATTTACCCATGGAAATATAGGTATCTAGGTTGCATGGGTATGGGTGCGGACACTGACATGGGTGTGGATACGAAACATGACAAATGTGTAAAAAGATAGGATATAGGGACACAACTATATATTCGCATAATGAAATTAATAATTTATATGAGATCGATATTGTTTTTTATTCACATGTTATGATAACTAAAATTCCTATAACATTTTATGTTTCTTTTATTGAATTGATTATAAATTAAAAAACCGCTTGTTTTTTAAACAGAAACCCAATTAATCCTTTATAGTAATACTTATGAACTGCATATAGGTTGAAACGAACCAATCCGAGTCCAATGAGTTGCAAAAAATTAAGGTGAAGTGTAAATATACATACAAAAAGTGTATTACTATTCATGGTTTAAATCACACAGATAATGTAATGGGGGTGAGATAATGTAATGGGGTGAGGTTGATTAGGGTCCGCTAACTTCTTCGAATATTTGGTTTTGAGTTGAGCAGTCTTCCCGCACAAATAGCAACTCGTAAGATGACGGGGACCAGTTCCCCCGTTGTTCCTCGGACGATCAAGTCAGTGATGAACTTGAGTGGAAAATTGATGAACTGTGCGAGTTCTTAAGTGTAGTGGAGTGGAGAAGAATTCTGAGAGATTGCTTACCCTTATATTTGTAATACTTTTCCTTTTTATAGTCAAGCAAAAGAGGTAGTATAGTCTTTTTGGCCGAGCCTGAGCTGGCAGCTGAGTCAACGTCTACTTTACAGGTGTCGGTTGTAGATCGGCTGCATGATAAGCGTTGTTATTTAGTCATTAATGAGATGAAATGAGCGGTGCACGAAGCCGGCATGGTTCGATGTATTATAAATAGTGCAGATGATGGAGAAATGATGGCGTCTGCCAAACATTTAATGTGGCGCCGACGCGCTATTAGCAGGGAGGTTCGATGTTGAAGTCATCCTTTGGCTTGTAGCGAGAGGTGTCGAGAAATAACGCATTTTGAGTCGACCCTGCGAGGTGTCGAATAATTAATCGAATGGGTTCGTAGTGAGTCGTCTTCGATAAGAGGACCGACAAGTACCGCCCTTCAAGTTGACCTAAGGAGATGCTGGCTCGGCGAGTCGGCTAAGTCAGGATTCTTAGTGGTTCTGACCGTTAATTCGATTTGAGCGGTGCATGTAGGGGGACACCTGTTCGTTGCTGGCAAAGTGCCATACTTTGGCGACTGAAAACACCACAACAATTATGAATGTTTTAAATTAAAACATGTATTATATAATTGAGTGTCAGACACGGATACAAACATGTAATCAGACACGGATACAAACATTTGACTAAATGCATGTCTATATTCAAGAATTGTCCAAGGAGTGTCGGACACGGATACAAACATGTAATCGGACACGGATACAAACATGTAAACGGATACGACAAATGTCAGACACGGATAAGGGAGCCTAGATGAGGTGTTCGGGTAACTTAGATGGGTACTGCTGAGCATTGTATTTGTTAAGTTTGGAAAAACTGACTTAGTCACGGAGAGAGAGATCGTCAGTCTAATAGTAACATCATCATTTATCAGTTTTTTAGTTATTGTGATATTTTTAATTTTTATAAGACATTCTTGCATGCTAGTTATATGAGTGTTCTGTCCAAATACTTCAAATTTGCTGGAGCAAGCAGAAATTGCTTTTTTATGTTAGTAAATATTCATTTTTTGTAAATATTTTCTTGTATGCTAGTAAATATTCATTATCTCGTTCAGGATTCTCAACCAAAAACATCTGGAGGACAAGATTCTCATGATGGTAGGTTTCTATAAATTTCCCAGATGAGGGAACCGAAAATAGATCTGATTATGCTGTACTAATGGAAATAATATCTATGCTCGACATCAGGAACATTACGGAATGGGACTGCTGCACGTGGTTCTCAGAATGGAGTGGCCCACCCTACCTCACAAGCAATGTTGAGCCAACCCATGCCAATAATGCCTATGCCAGCAGCTGGTGCACCTGCGGGGGTTGGTGCTCCAACCACAGCTTTAAATATTGGCATGGAGTACTGGGGTGCTCCTGCCCCGTCTATTCCTCCTGTTCGCGGAAAGGTTCCTGCCACCACAGTTGCTGGAGCAGCAGTACTTCCTGGAGGGCTTGCTGGATCACGTGAAAACATGCCATCAGAACTTTGGCTACAGGTTTAGTTACATGAAGCTAACAACTTACATATTATGCTTTTAATCATAGCTATACAAGAGAATTTGCTTAGTTTGTATTGCTTGCTGCTTTAGTGCGAGTCAAGTTAAGGTCATGGTTCTCATTACTGATTTTATAATGTATAACTGTTCTTAAGGATTTATAAGTAAATTGTAATTTGTGGTGTTTGTTTATAAGAAACTTTAAGATTCAATTACCAACTTAACTAGGGAATCCTTAACTATTAAGGATTCACGATATAATTTCCAATTGATAGGATCCTTTTAACTTATAACTCTAGGATGACATAGTGGCATAATCTGGTGTGAGAAAGGCCATGAAAACCCTCTAAATTTACTAAATTTCCACCAAAAAATGCAGGGCCCTGTTTTTTGTACTTGCAATGCTACTATATGACATCTTGAAGCCTTCAGTGGTTTCATGCAATCTCTAGGCCCTCTGTATATAACTAGGATGTACAAACTGCCTATGCTGTAGATAAGTTATAACATGTGAGTGGCCTATTATAGTTGACATTCTGAAGGAACTGTAATAAATAAATGGTCCCATAACAACTATTAGCTTGCATCTCAAGGTGGTATGTGATCATCCTTGGAGAACCTATATTGCTAAGTATACTTACCTGTAATGGTTGCAAGGATCGCCTTCAGGCTTGCAGAGTTACAGACATAAGAAATGACTGCATCTTGTATCTCTATACGATGATTAATTTTAAATGGTAGGTGACATACTTCTGAGTCAGCTGTTGTTTCTGGAAGTTCTAAAACAAAAAGTTCTTCATTATAGATGCAGATTTCATGAGCAATAAAACTATGAAAGCCTTTAAGTGTTCATAAGTGCTTTCCTATTCTGTTAATAATCAGCGAGAAGCTTTACTTGTTTTTATTTTGGTCATTTCTTTAAGATTTCAGGTTGTATAGAGTGCAGTGGTCACTGGTTCATATCTTTTCCTAATATCCATGTAAATCATTTAAAAGAACAGCATTCATACAAAACGATAAGTGCAGACATATAATATAATCTACTTTAAAAGTCTTTAAATATCACTGTTCTGTGAGTCAGTTTGTGCAAATGGCAGGCAATTCTCTCCATCCTACCTTATGTTCTCTAAAGAAGACAGGTACTTGCGTTAGGACATACCAATTTACTAACAATTTTGGAATATGTAGACTGCTTTTTAAACATATGGACGCAGTACATATTATGACTTTATTTTATGATATTTTATCTTCTGTTTTCTTATGTATCTACTTTTTGAGCATTTATGACATGAAAAAAATGTGATGGTGTGTGAAAACTGTACTAGTTTTCTGTTTTTACTTGCATACTGTACTAGTTTTCTGTTTTTACTTGCATTTCAGTATTATTTATCCTCTGATTGGAACTCAGGATGAAAGGGAACTAAAAAGGCAGCGAAGAAAGCAGTCAAACAGAGAATCTGCACGTAGATCTAGACTTCGTAAGCAGGTATAAAGCATATATTTTGAGTTATGAATATTTTTTATAGAAGCCAAACATCATAAGATGATGTCGGCTTACAGGCTGAGTGTGAAGAGCTAGCTCAGCGTGTCGAGGTCTTAAAAGAGGAAAACAGCTCCCTTAGAGCTGAAGTTGATAGGTTGAGGAAGGAACATGATCAGCTACTTGCTCAGAATACTTCTTTGAAGGTAGTTGTTTCTTGCTGGGCTTTACTTTTTTACTGTTGTAGTCAAGTAAAACTGGCTATCATCATGATCTTTAGATTACTTTTCTGTGATTAATTTTTTCTGAACAATAAAAATTCATGGACTTTAATTACTGTACCCACTTCAGTTTGCTGACCACGGAGCTATCTAGTATTCAGGAAAAAAAGTTATTTAATGCGTATACTTGTAAATTGCAATGATGTCTGATTATAAACTGGTCCTTTTTTTCCTTTGCTGCAAAAATTTCCTATTGTACTGAAATTCTATCCTTTGCTTGTTTAAATGCTTACTTAAGACTAGGGTTTAAATTCAAGTTGAAATATTGCAGGAAAGGCTTGGGGGAACACCCAGAGGAGCTGATGACAGTAGACCTGAAAAAATGGATCAGCATTCAGGTGAAAGGATCTAGTGGTCCTTTGAGTCTAATGCAACATGCTGGGCAACATATTGATATCTTGAACCTCAAGTACTTCAGATGCTTTTCTGGCTCATAACCCTGACTGAACTATGATCAGGCCCCTTATTACATAGCATTTATTAGAAGATAGAATTCATTGCACCTGTTTGCTACTAAGTACCTCTGTCATCGATGCTACTACCTCTGTCATTGCACCTGTTTGCTACTAAGTACCTCTGTCATCGATGCTGACTTCGCCAAACATGGTTCCTGTTATAAATTTGTCTTGGCTGATCTTTTAACAAGTCAAGTCAAGCAGGAGATGTACTCTTGGAACCACACTGGTTCTTCTCTGTTAAACTAAGGCTAGGGACTTTATTCCCATTTTTATAAACTCTGTATTTCGTGTTTTCTGATGCGATGTATGACTTTTGAGAGTGATGCTTGACTATATTGTAATTGGAGTTTCATAAAGTTCTTACTGTAGGGGTCATGGTCTTTTTAGGATGTACCAGTTGAACTTTGGATATGTAGAAATGTGGTAATATCTAGAGATAACCATATAATTTTCTTAATTGTCGCCTCTTGAAATTTAAGTACTGTACTGACCAAGCCTTCCATTTGAAATGCTCTATGCCTTGTAACTTTTGGGGAGCAATCAGCATGAAGCATATGATTGGTATGATTTTTACTCATTTTAAATTTGGGTTAACTTTGACTTCTTGTGGGTGTTGAGTTGTTGCAACTTATTTTGCCGATCCATTTTTAAAGGAGCATAATACTGTAGGAGGCCATGTTTAGGTGTGGGAAGTATTTTCTTATATGATTCAACAGGTATGTACCTGAACGTTCTTAGCATTATTTCGTGTTTTTAGTATTGTTCTATATTTTACTTGTGTGCCTTCATTTTTCAGGACAGGTACTGTTGTTGCGTTTGAAAATACATTATGATATCAATTCAAACAAACCTTTTCTGTGCTCTGGGTTCTATTCGAAGAATATCAATATAAGAAAGCGGAATGGTTTGCGATCTGGTTTATCTTCATGATTTCAGATTGTTCTATGGTAGCCAACAAAAGTCTTATTTGAGCAAATGAGCTACATCTTTTCCAGGTAAATCTTTTCTCTCACTTGAATATGGATGCTTTTGAGAGATGCAGGGTTTAAGCAACAAACGCTGAGGTTCCCCTAACAGCATAAATCGAGTGTCGTGTAACTTTTTTCTTAATGGTTGTCTTTTGAGCAGATTCGGTCATTGGATATTTGGAAGGTGGCAATAGCTTGTGATTTAAAGGCAAATACCAACTTGAGAACCTGCATAGTTCAACTGAAAGGAAGTTTTTTCAGCAGAACTAGACTAGGATATGATTTTTCTGTTTGTTATTTGAACAAGTTGGTCTTAAGCTTTCTGCTAACAAGTACTTCCTTTGTGGTGCAATCCAGGTTTTATTTTTTAAGTATTTATATTTATATTAGATTTAGTTGGGATGAATACGGGTCCCGCCTTGAATGTTCATTGAAGGTTCGTCTGTCGAAGTGCTTGCTGCACCGATTGGCTAGTAAGTGAAACTCTTTGAAGTTAAATATGAAACAAAAGAAGATGAATTTTATTTGCTATCAAGTACTTCCTTTGGCTAGTAAGTGAAACTCTTTGAAGTTAAATATGAAACAAAAGAAGATGAATTTTATTTGCTAACAAGTACTTCCTTTGTGATGCAATCCAGGTTGTCTTTTTAAGTGTTTATATTTATATTAGATTTAGTTGGGAGGAATAGGGGTCCTGCCGTTTCATTGAAGGTTCGTCTGTCGAAGTGCTTGCTGCACCGATTGGCTAGTAAGTGAAACTCTTAGAAGTTAAATATGAAATAAAAGAAGATGAATTTTTTCCCCCTCATACTTTTGCCTTGAACTCAGTGGATTGTGGCATGAGACTCCTGGGAATAGAATTATCAAAATTTATCAAAATTTGTTATTGGTGGTACGTGTTGAACTTAGAATTAATGTGACACATATGTTTCTAGCTGATATCTCTTGATCTAGAGAATTGCAACCTTTGGATCATTTTTGAAGATGATAAATTACAATTGCCTGTTATGTTATCTATATTTATTTCATGGTTTACTGAACATGATAATCATTTTGAATTTTTTTTTCATTGGAAACCTGCGCTTGTTAGATGGAAACCTTATTGTACTCCGGAAACACTCAGCCCTACTCAGATGATTCTAATAATTGATTTAGACTGGCTTTTTGGATACTTCTATGGTAATTTATTGATGCCATTATCTGAGTGTCTTCTAACATTATTTTCTGCTGTAAGCAGAGAGTTGATTTGTAGAACTATATCACGTCTATAGTCTAATTTTGAGGTCTTAGTATCTTACTGATGCTTCTAATTTCCCAATTGTTTCATGACCCTCAGATTAATCAACTATCACGAAAACAGTTTGAAGCTTATGGCAGATGGTTAGGTTTGAAGAAAATGAGATGAACTTTATTGGGGGGAATATATAAAGGCATATTCCTAAAGGTATAGGTGTCGGATATTTTCCGTAGTTTTTCCTACCAAGCAAATTGCTTGAAAACAAAGGGTCTGGCCACCTGTGCGAATTTATAAATCTTCTGTGCGGTAAAGATACATACCAGACAGAAGGGTGTCCGCATAATGCACGTACACGTATGCACGAAGGCGAAGGCGCGCAAATAAATGTATATACACGAGTATAAATCTTCTGTTTCTAGTACTATTCTGAAACCGCTATGTACCCTAGCATCAATGGTAAATAACAGCAACATTATATTGTTATGACAGTAACACCAAATGTTTCTGCTGTTTGGCTCAAACGCTAGAAGAATGTAACAAGTATTCCCGCTTTATCTCCTGTACTAGCCTCGGCACTACTTCTGTCTGTCGGAATTCTTTCTCTTGGTGAGTAGGTCGAACACGATAAGCCCAGCTCAACGATAGATGGAAGGCATTGATGCATGATTGTCGGTTCTTTAGTCTGTTGGCCATCTGAACTATTTGTGAGAAGATTCGAAGAACCACTGATACTCGAAATTGAATCCGGGTGTGCATTCTGTACCCATTGCCTCAAGCTCAAAACTACAGCAAACATGATACCAGTTGGTTTTTTTTCTCCCAGTAAACATGTGAGAGTGGGGGCCACTCTCTATTCGCGTGAGGAGCTCAGGTGCTCAGGTGCCCATTCACACGTTTTTTTAAAGTCACCCGAACCCGAAAGGCCCACCAATCCCTTATAAATACCTATGACTACCTAGGGTTTTGTGTTGGGAAAAGCTACGGAAAAAGGCAGCAGGGGGAACAGCGGCTTTAGAGAAAGAAAAAGTCTGCGGGAAGAAAAGTTTGCAGAGGGTTTAGCCGGCTGTTTATTGAGAGAAAAATAGTGAGATTTTGAGGAGAGAAAAAGAGAGATTTACAAAAGAGAGGTCAATTTCTTTTGGGTAAAAATTAGATCTTTTTCTTTGAGACGAGCTTGTGGATTGTACAAGTCGTCGGTGTTCTTCTCATAGTGGAATCTCCTCTCACCCCTCCCGTGGACGTAGGCAAGTTTGCCGAACCACGTAAATCTCGTGTATTTACTGTTTTCTGGGTTGTTGGCTATTGCTTGTAGGATCCCTCAAAATTCGGTCTTAGAGCTGATGAGAGGAAGAGTGTATATTTCACTTTGATGAAATATATCACTTTCGATTCTTGTTTCCTTTGAGAAATAAGAATTTCATTATCTATTCTCGTTTCCTTTGAGAAACAAGAATATAGAGGTTGACTTGTGCTTTTGTGACAACAAAAACCAGGGCTCTCTCTCAGGTGATATCACTTCCGCGGCGGTGGGCGTGACTCTGCGCCCAACAATTGGTATCAGAGCTGTTAATCAGATTGGGAGTGGTGTAGCTTCTGGTTTGAGGTGGTGCTCGACAATTTCCTGAGAGAAGCGGATTTATTAATACAAGCGGATAATGTCGTCAACAAGTAAAATAGTTAAAGTTGGAAAATACGAGATTGAAAAATTCAATGGGAAGAATGATTTTTCCTATTGGAGGATGCAGATGAAGAACACGTTGATTTCGCAGAAATTGCACAAAGCTTTGGCGGGAAAAGAGAAGAAGCACAAGGATATGTCTGATGAGGATTGGGAGGAGCTGGATCTGGAAGCACGGGCGTCGATTATCCTTTGCCTTGAAAGGGATGTAGCTTTCTTGGTAGATGGAGAGGAAACGGCTGCAGGCGTGTGGTCGAAGTTAGAAAGCACCTTCATGATGAAGAGTTTAACAAACTGGATCTATTTAAAATCCAAATTGTATATTTGCAAGATGGAGGAGGGCTCATCACTCCGGGAATACATCAACAAGTTCGATAGGATAATATCGGATTTGAAGGACATCGATGTGACTGTAGAAGACGAGGATCAGGCGCTTCTACTACTTCTATCTCTGCCGAAGTCTTATGAGAACCTGGTGCAAACACTGATGCTTGTGGGAGACAATTTGACGATGGATGAGACTAGAACGGCGCTTCTAGCAGATGACCTTCGGAAGATTGCAACCAGTGACATGACTACTGGTGGTAACAAAGAACAAGCGCAGGGATTGTTTGCTAGAGGAAGGAGCAATGAGCGAGGAAAAGGCAAGGGAGGAAAGTCTAGATCTAAATCGAGACCTCTTGCGGGAAAAGCGTGCTTCAAATGCGGTGAAGTAGGGCATTTCAAGGTTGACTGTCCTAACAAGAGAGTAGGTGGGAAAAAGAACAACAATAAGACCGAGAGAAGAGAAGGCAAAGAAGAGGCGAGTTACGCATCGGAGGAAGGGAGCGAGAAGGAATGCTATATCGTCACGGGTGACGAGGATACCTCCGGGAAGTGGATTCTTGATTCTGGTTGCTCTTACCATATGTGTCCAAATAGGAAGTGGTTTACTACCTACAGGAGCATTGATGGTGGAACCGTATTGATGGGGAACAACCATGCTTGTAAAACGGTGGGGCTAGGTGATATCAAAATCAAAATGCATGATGGAGTGGTTCGAACGCTAACGGACAGTCGCAACTTCCCGCCTTTGCGGAAGAATCTTATCTCAGTTGGTGCTTTGGACTCCTGTGGCTGCAAGATTGTTACAGAGAACGGAGTAAAGAAGGTTGTTCGAGGTTCCCTAACAGTGATGAAGGGTGTTCGTCACGGTAATCTATATACTCTCTCGGGTACGACGGTGACAGGAGATGCAGCGGTTGGAACTGATGGAAGTGGTGGAGACCCATGTGAGCACACCCGGTTATGGCATAGGCGGCTTGGGCACATGTCAGAGAAGGGTCTGGTTCTGCTTGGTAAGGAGGGTTTGCTGAAGAATCTGAAGAAACCTTGCATGGATTTTTGTGAGGATTGTGTGTATGGAAAGGCGCACAGGGTCCAATTCTTGAAAAGCAATCACAAGAGCAGAGGTATACTAGATTATGTGCACACGGATGTTTGGGGTCCGGCTCAGACAACTTCCAAGGGTGGTTCCAGGTATTTTGTCTCGTTCATAGACGATTATTCTAGGTATGCTTGGATTTATTTTCTTAAGCATAAGAATGAGGTATTCGAGACATTCAAGAAGTGGAAAGCAATGGTTGA